CACTATATTTTGATCTTTATTTAGTAGTTTTTCCAATTTTTTCTGATTTGCTTTACGAATAGCATTCCAGACTGTACCTTTTTCTCTTGCTGCCTCTGTTTGTTTTTCCACAGCAGTTGTGGTTGAACAACTTGCTCTGTCACTCTGTTGCGGTAGAGTAAATATCAATCTCGAGAACCAAGTGTTAGTTGATATCCGCGGTATAATGGGCAAGCTTAAAGCAAATTTTCCCAACATCCCTCGAGCAACTGTGTTAGACGGTTTGTCCGAGCTGGTAATAGGTGCTTGTTGTTGCGGTGTGAGGTTCGAGTCAAAAGATGGATCACTCATTGATCCGATTTTTGGTTTCCGTCGTTGTCTTCCCGACGCATCAGCAATCGAAAGTCGATGTGTATACGTTATGTTAACAACATCTTTGAAGGTGAAACGACGTGTGTTGCGTGTGTGAAATGGTGATGATAGAGGTGACGCAGACTCATTATTCATTATGTCAACTCACTATACTATTAAAAAGAAATTGAATTAGTTACACAGCATGAATGGTGCCTTATCAGAAAGTATGAGCAAAAATTTGACCCAATTTCTTACAGCTACTCTATTAATGGAAAGAAAACAGCAAAGAACATTTATTATGGTTACCTGTATGTAATCCAAAAAGAATAAAACTTAAAATATATTTACCGTGACAATTTTTCCTTTTTTTATGATATAAATGACTTATACTTCTCAGCGAAAAGTATGAGTAGGTCGTCTATTTTTTTATATTGTGCGTATTCATTGTACACATGTTAAAGATAAGAAAAGCAGCATGTTATACGAAATATTTGCCGGATGCATAAATGCAATTTTTATTTTCATTTGTGCGATCGCTTGTATAACAGGTAAAAGCTTAAGTCAGTCATTCGTGACTTTATTTTGAACCTTGAAATTTTTTGATAACGTACTTAAATACTTTTGTCATAAGCAAACAAAAATCTAGGTAAAAAGAATAACAGCAGCTCTAACATCGACAATAAAAGAGATCGTAAGAAAATTTTTTTTTCTCTTTAACATGTCGGGTACTATATTTAGAATATACCTGTACGAAAACAAAGAAACGAAAAATGACGTTTTGTGTATACTTCTTTCTGCATTGGACTCGAAGTTTACAATTATACAACCAAATACTTGTTGATAGGTTGGAAAATAAATGAGGGCGCCATAACAACAGAAGATCACTCACAAAGAATGAGCGTTTACAACTCCAAAATAAATTCGATGGAAATAAGTTGTTATGAGAACAAACATTCACAATGTTCGCCTTGCAACAACATAATCCATTCTTCAACAATAGTCATCATGTAACGACAAAATTCATTCAAGAAAGCTCATATTTTATCATTAGTTTCAATTGACACAATGTACGCTCATATTTTATCATTAGTTTCAATTGACACAATGTACGCTCATATTTTATCATTAGTTTCAATTGACACAATGTACGCTCATATTTTATCATTAGTTTCAATTGACACAATGTACGCTCACATAAAACAGTGACCTTTCTTTGATAAATCTGATAAACAGTAGACAACATTCTTTTCACACAATGACTTTCATGGGAAAATAGTGGCACGATCTGACAGAACTACAACAGTCAACGATCTCTAGCAAATGAAGTTCAAGCGTCTGCTCTCACATCAAAATCCAAAAGAAGCGTTACGTCAGACTAGATTTAAAGGGCAGAAAACGCATTATGCCAGCTTATTTTCCACAGAAAAGCTTCAATACATTTCACACCGACCGATGGGTTTTTTCATAATCGAAGTTCTCTTACAAAATTTCAAGAATTTTTCGAAAAAACCAAAAGCTTTTTTCGGTTTTCAGATCAGTTCGGATCAGTACGAGTCAGAAAAAGCGTTTCGAAAATTTCAAGGTTCGGGTCAGGTTCGTGCCAGCTGAATGTGATCGGATTCGGTTTCTGAAGGGTGTGCATCTCGCATGTTATAAAAAAGATCGACTTTTGAGTTAAACATGCTGTGTAACAGAGTCAAGTGTCCTCTACAATTTGAGACAGCTTCCCGCTCTCCGCGACCTTTCCTTGATGAGATATGACATTATTAATGCTGTCATTCTATAGCGGGAAAACTCTATTTTTGAACTTCGAGAATTTTTTATCTTCCATTGTGAATTTTTTTTGAAACAGGTAGTCATATGGAGCAAACAATTCTGTACAAAACGAGACCTCTCCCAGCTCTCTACTATAATAAGATAAAGCCTGAAGGGGGTAGCCTCCACCCTCAGAAATAATAATTCTTTTTAGAAAGATTGATACCGAACTGAAGACATGATTATATGGTCCAAGATGTCCATTATCAGTATTCATGATTGTTTGTACTTCATGAAAGGCCATTAAGGAGTTTCTGAAACGTTTCTAAAAGCCAAAGAAGTCTTGAACATGCGCTATTATAAATAAAGACGCCACCCAAACCGATAAGCCAATTTGTATGGTGGACATTTCTAATTAAAAGGAAACGTCTGCTATTTCTGAGCGATGGTTTGATAAAAATTTATGAGAACCCCAAGAGATCCCTAAAATATGCACTATGCACTGGCGCCATATCTCAAAATCGACGTTCGTCCCATTTAAGCTTTTTAAGAATTCTTGATTTTCTTTGATGCAGAACAGTTCGAGATGATTTTTCTTCTTAGAGAAAACTTGTTACTTCAATGTCATAGAGTCGGATTTTGATTTTCATTTTGTGGTTGTGCCGAATACTCTACACATATTCACCAGATGTATGAGGGTTATCTGTTGTATGGCTTCGGAAATTCATTGAGAATGGGTGGACACTATTATAACATATGTGGGAACACGAGCTTGCGGAACCAATAGTGATCCTTTCTATCATGTAATCTGCATTCAAAGTACATCATAATCATGTAAATCTATGGTAACGAAAATAATAGGTAAAATTTTAGCTAGACGATTACACATTCATCTCTTACTTTCACCATTTCAATTATTTTGCGCCCTTGTCACTTCCAATATATTCCCAAGTAAAACCAGTAATATATTTGAGATGATCAGACAAACTGGGTCGAATGATATACTTGGCACTCCTTTTTCGGACAAACAAATTCCATCAAAAATTTTATCTGTTGTTAAAAACTGACTGTATCATCTATATAGAGATAATCGGTACCAGCAATCGGCTGGGGTCCGATCTTGTCTGGCCAGAGATTTCTGACTTGCCGACAGAGGAAAAAAATTACTTTATATGTAAACAATCAATATAATCAGTTAAAGCGTTTCTGTAAAAGGATTTCCAAATCTTTGAAAACCTCTGAAAAGCCCCTTTAAGCGATTCATTTAGTGACAAATCCCGACACCCTTTTTAAGTTTCCGAGCATACAGTTTTTTTACAGTTATATTCGAACTCGAACCAGACTCTCGTACTCTCATTTCTATTCGAATTAGACAACTCATGTAATGAACGTAAAAAAATAAGATAATCTGCAAATTATTAATTAAACAAAGAATGTTTTTATGTGTGGCAGGACTATCACAATAAATGTCTAGCTTGTACTTTTAGCAACTTGTGTATTCATCTTTTCTTTTTTTTATAGAAGTATGAAAACTTCAATCTTTTTGTAAAATATGAATACTCAAGCTGCTAAAAGTAAAAGTCAAAGAATGTTTTCACAGATAACGGAAGTTTGATGTCCAACGGAACCCAATAGTTTCAGAGAAAACTTTCCCGAAATCGAATAAAATTTTTTATACTACATCTAAGCCGTTCGGATAGTCCGGACATTTAAAAGGTTTACGAGAAAATTTTCAGAAACGGAAAAGGGCATCCTCAGATATTCTTTCCGTTTCCCAATCGATTTCACATACGCAAACGGTTTCATAAGATACCTTTTCGGTTTTCGAAAGAGTTTCCAAAGGAGTTTGGGTTTCCAAAACGACGCTTTTTTTTTTAGAGATTACTAAATATTTCTGTAGATAAAATATTCACTAGAGTTCTGTGGGGTAAATCGGGCAGCTTTGGAGGTACTGGTTTCCATTTGAACACTGATTGTAAGAGATTTTCAGGAAATTTTTTCATCAGCACGTAGAGAAACGTCGATTATACCTTAACATTCAATAGCATGCTTATTTGATTAAAAACGGCTTGGGAATACGCTAAATACTGAGGAACCTTATCAAGTTGTCCGATGTACTCCGTATAACTCTACTTATTAAGGAAACGTACAAACACGTTTTTTATAGTATCATTGCGCAAGTCTGTCGGTTTAAGGTACTTTCACATTCTACTGATAATCAAAAAGTGTACCTTTCGATTTCGTCTGTCGTTATCTTTCATTGATCGACTCTTGGCGTCTGCTAAAAATCATCATACTGATCGCACACCGGACGATTATAAATCTGGTTGTAGTAAACATGTACGTTTTAAATGTAAACGTCGCAAAACATTGATGAAAAAAGTTCATAATCTGTAAAAGAATTTTTCTATCTGTTAATCAAACTTAACGAATATCCTTCTTTTTGGTTTCATGTCTGGTGCTACGCATTTCTACTTGTTGCACTATGATGTAGCCTATTAGGTAAAATATTCTGTTTTATTCTAAAAAAGGAGGGGCTCTTAGTAAGAACTTAGAAGTCACGAACTATCACGATGAAGTGTAAGGTCACCTCACTGAGATATACACCTGAGATATACACCTGAGATATACACCTGAGATATACACCTCACTGAGGTGTGTATATTTTGAGAAAACAAATCTTTTCGATATAATAGGGAAATAAAAGATTGAAATCAATTTGACGAAGATCATTTTTGCGTCTAAACGACAGCTTTTCAACTTTATGTTCTGAGTCTCGCGATAATTCTAAGAGTTGTCGCCATAATGTTGCACATATTTTGTATCGTATATCATTTCATTCAGTTCGTCGGACTCTATCAAATGATTATTTTAGCATTTCAATGATTGATTATTAGAAAAATTTGTTTTTTAATATACAATCAACAATGGCAAACAACATGTGCAACGTATATTTTTAAATTTTTGTTCTTGAATTTTTTAAATGTTCTATAATACGAGCGTGAAGTACTCATATTATGTTTACATATTACTTTTTGTTCAAAATCTTGACTATATAGTGTTTAGTAGTGTCAACGTTTTAGTTGATATTGAAAAGACCCATAACTTACTCCCTGTGGCTGAGAAGAACATTAAAAACGTAATACGTAATGATTTAGTTTTATGAAACATGAAGGTATGGCACCATAAAACCTTTCCTAAGATCTTGTCATCTTTGTTACTAATAAGTATTTATGATGGTTGTCATTACTTAGAATGTAATAAAAAGGTTAATTGATTTATCTAATAGAAACTGCATACTAATATTGTCAATTTTTGACACACTATTCACGTAGCTATCTATTTACATTTGTTTTCTCTCACCTCTTTATTATCTATTTAATAACCTGATTGAATTTTTTTATAAATCATTTGATCACTTACATAACATGTTTACATGTTTTAGTAAAGAACAAATCGCTTATGTATATGTATATGTCGCTTGTTAACTCAAGGCTGTTTTATTATTGAAATAAAAAAACTATAAAGACATCTCTCTTTATACCACCTTGATCTGCATAAATGTTTTCTGTCCTCGTACCATTATCTATTTAGCGGTATATTTTTTCACGCTTCGCTTCAGAAACACAGTCTCCTTTCCCTTAATTATGAGAGAAAGTATTTATTTTCATTAGTAGAGAAAAAATTTTGAAAAACAAAGCTAGAATGACTTTAATAAATAATGATCGTATATATACGTGTTTTATACTGGTAAACCCGTCTAAAATATTAGAAGATGCAATAAACAACAACAACAAGAACAATAGACAACACGTTGATGATGGTTTTGCTTCTTCTTATATCAATGCCAAAGACAACAATCAAATAATGTATAATAGTAACAGTCCACATCAATATTACCGGTCGGCGTCACAACAGTTTAACCATCTGTCCTCACGACAACCAATAAATCCATACCACTCACTGAATCAACTAAATAATGACTATTTACCACCACGACAACCAATACATCCATATCATTCACCCAAACAACTAAATAATGAATATTTACCACCACCCCAACCAATACATCCATATCATTCACCCAAACAACTAAATAATGAATATTTACCACCACCCCAACCAATACATCCATATCATTCACCCAAACAACTAAATAATGAATATTTACCACCACGACAACGTATGCATCAACAATATTCAACAACTCCAGCACATAATCACTATCATAACGATATAAGTAATCAACAACAACCACAGACTTCAAATGGTTATATAAATAGTGGCAGTTTCGACGCACAACAACAAACATGGACTAATAACAATCGCCATGAAGAAATATATCGTAGCAGATATGATCAAAGTCCAGGTGGATACTTGTCATCTACTAGTGATCATTACAAATCACCTTTTGATAATCGTCATAATCAACATGATGGTTATCCTTTGACACCTACAGATCGTTATCAATTGAATGGTGATCATACACTAAGAAATCCTCATTCAGCCAATAGAATTCAGCATAATACTGGTACCATTAAAAATAATATTCAACATATAACACCATCTCAGTTACGATTAATGTATGATGATATTGTTTATCAGTTGAAAATGGATCGATCACAAAATGTCTATGAAAGAAATTTGCATATTCTCTATGATATT